GGTGTAACGCTGACATTTTAATGAAGTTCAGCACAATAGAGCTTGGAATTCTGAAGCCAATGATATTTGTTTCCTACACACATTGTTTCGAACACTCATCAAGGATTTACGGTACCCCGTAACATGTACTGCATATATTCGACAAGTGTCCCAACACTCACGAACGACAGTATAAACACCGTTCTGTTCTCCGAGTCTCCTAAAATAAAATTAAATTGAATTTCACCCTAAACATCATTCGTCTAGTTCACACTCAGTGCCCTAGGGCGGTGTATTTTTCAACGGGCTTCCCGAGAAGTGCATTTCATTCCCATAAAATCTCAACGTAATAAACTCAATTTCAACCGTGCGTCCTCAACGTGTCACCAGCGTCGTCGGCGGTCTTTAATATCCACGAGGGGTCCTGATTACGTTTATTCCACTTTCTCCGAGTAGCGGTTGCCCGCAAAGTAAATCGGTATCCCCACTCTGAGCGCGCAAGACCGCTTTCATTTTCAAGAAGTAACAGGTCGTGGACATAGCGGAAGGGGTGAGTCGCCCAGGCACAGTTTTTACACGTCATTTTCTGCCCGAGCGGCCCGAACGCCAGAAAATCCGATTCCTCCGGCTCCATTTCGTACAATCTAGCCGCGGTAGTGCACGGGGGTGGGGGACGAGGAAAAAATAGAGCTCGAAAGGGTGGGCGAGAGCGAGAGAAAAAAAAAAGAAAGTGGTCGGTACCAATGGGCGGTGTATTGTGAGCACTCAAGCTGCTATAAAATGCCCCGGAATTACTCGTCCGCAAATCCGGCGAAGTAAATTAAAAATTTCCCATTCGAATCTGTCGATTGCGTCCACCTACGAACAATGCCCCGCCCCGCCACACTTCGTTTAATTCCAATCGAACAAAAAGCGGATTAAATCGCACCCGACTTCGCGGAGGCCATTGTTTCGCTTTGTATATACGCCACCTCCGTTTACCCGTTTCCCGGGAAATTCGAAATTTATAATGAACCCGTTCGCTGGTCGGGACGTTCGTGTTCTTGAACTCTAATACGTTATAATTTTATATCGCCACGCAATGAAATGAACCCCCTTTCAAACACTCCGGCCGAGGTTGATTCGATTCTGGAATACGCTTAGGGTCAGTTTTCTTCCGAAAGGTGTTTTAATCTCAGGTAACGATGTTAACGACGCGTTCAGAAATTTAGTAGACAGTCTATTTTTTTTTCTCAATAATTCTTTAATGTGCAAGGGAGTAATTGAACGCTATTAAAACATTGTAGAATAAAAGAATTCTTCTTCTATTTTAATTTTTAATATTAATCGTATTACCATAAAGATGTTTACTGAATACATTAAAGAGAACGAAATAATTGGTAGCAAATTCTCGGTTTTTGTAATGTAACAATACTATGCAAGAAAACTAGTCCCTGAGATATTTGTGAGAAATTATTATGGTTAGATTGAATTTCAATTAATTTTCACGAAATTTCTGAATTGTGAAGGGAATTAAAAGTTATGAAGTCGCTGGAAAATTTTATTGCAATAAACGCAATTAAAATGTTTGTTGATCGATGCTTTCACATGTAACAGTATTGTTATTTTTCTCCTCGTTTAGTACGCAATTACGGTAAAAATTATACTGTTATGGACCGGGTTCGCGGGGCAACGTTCATGCCGGTGCCATTGGTATAATACCGCAGGGAACGTCATCGCAATAATACTGTCCGCAATCGCATTTGGGATTTCGATGTTTCAAACGAGCGGAACATAATAGGCTGGCGAACAATTTAGAGCACTTAATGTAATTCGGTAACGAGCCACTTGATTTTTCAGTAATACCTGTTCCCGAACACGGCAATTTTCCTTCGTGAAACGTTCCCATGGACCCTTATACCGATTCATTTCGAACGAAATTTATTCATGATATATGTATATCACGATGATCATATATTTATGTGTGTACATGATATACTTTAAGCATGGGAGTCATTTGACAAAATATTGAATATAAACAGTAGTTACATACGTTTAGAAGTTCATAAATTAATTTAAACTTCCATGATGACACCAGATTATTACTAATATCAACGAAGATTGCTCGATCCATAATGTACATCGATCTATGATCCGCGGAATGTGAATTTTGTATTGAAATGGAAGGAAGGCCTATCGAACCTCTGTAACAAATTTGAAAATAGACATTTATATCTTCGAACATCTTATCCATCGAAAAGATTCTATAAACACCTAAACTCGTACACCCTTTCTTTTTTTTAACAGCCTGTATACATTCCGTAGGGCTACACGTCAATCTAGGTTTGATCGCTGTATTTTTAGTTCTTTAAAAATAGTTAAAGCGGAATAATTAATACGTTTACGAAAAAACATTGCATAACGTGTTCACGGAGAATGGTTCGATCGAGTCGATTAAACACGTACGGATGCAAGTGCGGGGGTAATCAGATTTTCGGGAAACGTGCTAGAACGTTGTACCGAATCATATTCGGTTTATTGTTTAAAATACTGGCGGATGGAGTCGGGGCGTTATTTCGACGCCTGCTAATACACCGTGTTGCGTGAGCGTTACTTTAAGCTTTTAATGGAACTTATGCCGAGCTTATGTTATTAAAGCACCGTGAACAAGCAAAAAGATTCGGGAATGAAATATTCGGGGTTTTATGGAATTCTGGGAAGTGGAATATGCAAGATTGGTTTGGTTAAGGATTAAACAGTTTAATTAAGTCGTCGGTAAAGTAAAATAAATGCTTCTGCTTTTCTTCTTGGTTTAAATCGAAATTTCATTAACACGCTTACATTTAATAATAATTTCAGTACTGAAGTTAAACAGATGTATCGATAAGAGCCTTGTCAATAGGAAGAATATTCCCAGTTCCGGCGTGGTGGGAAATATGAAACCATTTTTAATATATCCTACAGTTCATGGAAAAACGTTCATCTCTTGCAGTAAGATCCTTTTCCTTTTTATTACATTTATGACAAGTATGAGGGCCTCAAGGCAATGAAATAATGACTTTAATAAACTCCAAAGAGATCTTTATCTTTTTTTTTAACTAACAAGCGTATTAAGAAATTATTTGTGGGAATACACATTTCCATTAACATCCGCTACTCACCCATACTAACAATACTTTTTTACATATTACCAATAAATAACTCCCTCTTTTTTGTATAATATTCAAAGCATGGTTTGAATTCATAATGTCTCCCCGCTCTTTTCTATTGCATAAATAACAGGATATTGGATGTCGAGAACAACTATCACTGACACAATACAGGCTTTCAATTATCATAAATATAAATATTGCATTTGACAAAAAAGATTGTTTACTAATTATTGGTACACCTACTAGATAGAAGGGATATTATACTATACAATAATACATATAGTATACTGCAGTGTATTATAGTGCACTTCAGTATTATAATGTATCACATAAAAATAGTGCATTATTTATTGGTACACGTAATTGTTCTGTTAACCGAATTTGTATTTTGCAGTACTGGATCAGGTTTCAATCAATACGAGTGAAAACAGTACATTTCAGAACGGAAACTCCGATTCAACATTTTCCGGGAAATTTGCTACGATAGTTCACCGTTTCGTTAATTATACGTCTCTCTGCTAGAATACCCGGCGTGGGGCATACTATATTTTGTTTCAACCTGAGCCGGACTTGCCAAGCCCGCCGCGTGTCCAATCCCACCTCTAAATTAGAGCTTAATTGTCCGGCGCTCGGTTCCACCGGCGGCCGAGACCTTCTCTAATTTGAGCAGATTATTAAAATCGTATCCCCGTGATCCTCGAAATGAAGGATCACCTCCGTAGGCAGGTAACGACGGAACTTTTCTCGTAAAATAAATCAAAGTGGTCCAATCGTGGTAATTCGATGCAGCCGCCTCCGCCGGGGTAACGTCGGATATTTTCTTAATAGTAAAACTTCCATGACAATCGACTGCTGTTCGTCCCCATGAACTTCCTGATAAATCAGTACAGCGACCCCTCTGGCGAAATCCGCCGACATCTTCTTATTCGTTTTTAGTCTGCCTCCCTTATTTATCCTATTTCCTCTTCATAACTTCGTCACCGACGAATCCACTTTTATTAAGTACTTCGATCTCACCAATTCGAATATTTTCGAACATTTTTTTTTTAGTGATACAGTAGTACCTCCCGTATTCGAATTAATAGGCAGACATAAGTATTCGGATAAAGGATTTCCAAATACTGAAGCAATCACAGTTTGTTTCATGTATAAGTTTGTTTAAATGTTTATGGATTCGATATACATTATTTTAGCGCTATACAGGTTGTTCCAGAAAGATGGGACAATCTGCAATATGCATATTCCTCAGAGAAATACAAATCGAAAAATCCTTTATCGTTTTGTTATCTACAGTTCCATTCTCGAGATATTAGCAGTTAAACGACCCACGGCTCAGCTGATTAGAGTTCATTTAACTGCTAATATCTCGAAAATGGCGCACCAGATTACAAAACGGTAAAGAACTTTTCGATTTGTATTTGCGTGAAGAATATGCATGTTGCGGATTGTCGCATCTTTTTGGAACACCCTGTATATTTGCACCAGGATAAAGCATCTGTTGCTGAGACATTCTGCTCGGATATCAAATCGTTCGGATAGTAGAACATCTGAATATTAACATATTCCGATAATGAGTGTTCGGATACGAGAGGCTCTACCGTACTTCCTAACCCACACGGTGCTCCAATTATGTTCCATTTAAAATGATAATGTTATGTGGGTCGTAATGTGACATCGGTCGAGAGGGATCCGTAAAGAAGAAACTTCTCCTTCGAGTGGCCTATTGTTCTAACATCGTGTCAGACTCGACTTCATGGAATTTTGTTTTTGTTGGACGCAACCATGTCGTTTCAGTGACTTAGGGGGTTGGGTTGCAATTACGTGTAATGCTATTCCGAGTTTGTTACCGCTGCTGCCACTAAAAAGCATATTCGTCCATGTCTGTTACAGCCACTGCACCAGTGACTATATCGCCGTGTACTCGGGTCCGACAACGTCGAGTCCTCTTCTGAAGATGCTTTGTGGAAAAGAGAAAACGTCATTGATGTACAACGGGCAAAATCTCTTGGTCGAGTTCAGGTAACCGTCTACGTGTCCTAGTCCATATGTTTCTTTTGCACTTTTTTACGTAGCGAGAGACAATCCATAGACGTATTATTAACACTGGACCTACCAAAGCAATCAAAATTACTGGTTCGTAGGCTCATAAAAATTATTAAAATGTCATAACAATCTCTTTGCTAGGATTTTTCGGAACTTTTATTGCAATATATAAGTAAAGAAGTTCGTTAATTTATCGATTTGCATACTTTCAACAAGCTGTTCCGTTTACCAACGTGATAGAAGGAGATCCACGTTTATCTTCGGTAGTTCTAATATTAAGCGTAAACAAACGTGAGCTTAACAATAAAAAATCGCTGATAATATATTGTATATTACAAATATTCATCTGAACATTATTAGATACTATGGTTACAATTTTTTATCTGCTCCATTCGTGTTAGGTGTAAAACAAATTACTTAATGTAATATTCCGATCAATTAATATTTATTCTTAACTTTTGAAAGTCAAATAGAAGTACAGGCTGCCCACTAAACCGCATTTTTCCTTTCCAGAACTGGTCCAGAAGTACCGCCCTTTGATTACAACGGCTTCGTTGCGAACCTGAATTTCATAGAAATCACGACCGAAACCCCAACGACGACAACAACGACTACGACCACGACGTCGACTACAGAAAGCATCGGTAAAAGCCGTAAGTACTGGAAAAACGGACGCATTCGTTCGATAATTACTTGTCGGTTTTACAACACTTATCCAGACAATGCAACTTGAAGTACTTCTTTAAAGTGGATACTAAACGTGTTAAGCAGTATAGTTCATTTGATTCATGCGTACATGCCAGTCCACTACAGTGATCCCTTATACACAATTAAACTTAAACGAATCGTCCACACTAGACAAGCACTTATGATTCCCTTTATACATAGCTACAATGGTCACAAATACACAAAGTAGAAAAATTCCCAAAATTATTAGTTAATCAAAGGTTGTCATATAAATAATTCTAACGTATTAAGTCAGTGTATCGCACAATATTTTATATACAATTGCTTGAACAAAATTACTTTTACATCGTGTGCCGTGTCCCCTAACGATTAATCAAGAATCTAATTGAAATGCAAGTTTCTCCGAGCGTTTACAACAACGCGCCATAAAACTTCAATATCACTGGTCCAAGTGCGTTAAAGTTAAAGGGGGATTATACTGAAAAAATAGAAATATAAGTTGCCTTTCCATTCTACTGCGAAAACTTTTCAAATGACCTACGAAACTTTCTGAACCATCTCCACAAAAAAAAAAAAAGACTGGTTCACTCGTTGAACCGTTTCCTCGTCCGGTCAGAATCCCGAGAAAGATATCCGTATGAAAGCTTGCTCGCGATAATTAATTCCAGCTCGCAGACCGTGTATGCCCCGGTTTCAATCAGAGCGCGACATCCCCGAAATCCGGCTCGTCCTTGTTTCAATAAAGCCCACCCCCTGTTCGCTCTCAAGTGGCCGCGTATTTTCAGTGGACACGATGAAGTCGATCGGTTACAACGTCCGGTACAGCAACCGGGACCTCCACGACCAACGGAAGGACCAGGGTACCACGTCGAACAGCTGCGACCTAGAGGTCAGCGGCGAGGAGGTACGAACCGGTCACCACGACACCAGGGGGAAGCCCAAGTCCACGACGTGCCGGCTGGTGTTACGTGGACGTGCTTACGACACTGAGCACGTTTCGCTGGCCAGTTACAATCTCAGGTAATGCCTGCCACCTTTTCCTACCTTACGACCTTGCACACGCACACCTGTCTCCACACACCCTTGCCCGTACCGCCCCTTGTTGCCCTCGCCTCGTAGCAGCCTCCATCTATAGCGACTTTGATTTACTCTGGTGCCATTTCTCAAGGACAACTGGTAATGATTCGTAATTTCTATTAATTTTTTATTTTAAACACTTTTCTTCGTTGTTTCACGATCTTGGGTTGTAAAAATGAGTTTGGATTACAGTATTATGCGAGTTAATGTGATCACAGGTTTCATTCCGAGAGACATCACGAAGTCATGAATCGTGGAGCGGAACTTGGGTAAATTTTGCTGCGGATTGAAATTAGTTTTTTTGGAGTTTGTTTTAGTAATTTCTTATTGGAACAGCCGAAGGGTAGTGTTCCTTCTTCGTGTACATTTTTAAGTTCGCTTCACTTCGACTGATCCAGTGTCTCTTTTGGTTTCAAAATCTTATTTACTGCTCTCAGACTCCACGTCATATTCCTTAGGCATATGCCTCTGTGTCATTGTAGTGTGTTCACGTTACAATTCTTTTTCGTTTTCTCGGAGTGATATTCCAAATCCAAGCCAACTGATAAGAAACACGAAAGTATTCTTGATGACAGAATGTACCATTTGATAATAATTATTTTTACTAAAAGTGCAGTTATAGGATATGTTTTGCACGCCACGCAATTCTTCTGAAGTTATCACAACAATGTGCCCAGATGTAAGAACGTCGAGTAATCACTTTGTTCACATTTAGACTGTGGTAACAGCCGTCGAATTTTAAATGTTGTGGGTTAGGTTAGAGATGATTCCTTTACAATACATTTAGAAATATTAACCCTTTAGCTACCGCAGGGCTAGCGAAAAAATGTCAATACAGTGCTCGTTTGTGGATGAGGTGTACCTGTCATTATTGTTATTGATCACTGTGGTAATAAATGTGGAATATCTTCGATGGCTGTCCAAGGTAGGGACCTTTGGTTGTTGGATTGTTTAGTTGACAATTGTCAATGTAACATACAGAGAAGAGCCACAGTAGTGATGTTTCGCTCTAAACAACCACTTCGCGACAAGCCATTATAATGGCGCTCGGTAGCCAGAGGATTAATCCGAACTCGATGGTAAATATTACAATAAAACAGGTGTATTTGATGCTCACAATTCAAAATCTATAAGAAAAATTTGAATTCCCACTGGTTTTAACAATTATTTTTTTCTAAGTCACGTCCATATTCTACTACTGTCCAGTACACACAATTGATTTCGAAGGATGTCAACAGAAATTCCTCAAAAAAAATATCAGGATTACGCCGAAAAACTGTGAAAAATACACCTTTTTATATCTCCAGAAACGAATCCACTACATCCTCCATCGTATATGTGCATAAACGATCGAGGAATTACCATTTATCAGATATTCCGTGCTCTCGAGTAGCGAGATACGCCGATTTCGGTTTCTATTTCATCAATATCTCGTACGTGACCGTGGCTAGCGAGGCGAGAAACTGCGATCGCTTAACATGCTCGCGAGGGAGCCCGGGTCACAGTTTTAAGGTGATTGCATTCGACCGTAAGAACCGGAGTTAGAAGCCACCGGAAATGCAGTCACGTAGCGGACCGTGTGCCGCAGCCCTGGTCCGTGGACGGAATTGCATTCCCGATTTGTTTACCTTTTTCGTGGCGTCGCGATTGAGGGTTCCCCGATAGCCTGGTTCCTGTGGACCTATGTCGGGACACGGTCACCGGACGCCAACGGATCGCGTTAAATCAAACACGAACTTCCGTCCACGTCCATCCGCCCGTCGACGGTCGCCAACCCCGGGGATCTTTCGATTTAATTACTCGGCTATCCACTGCAGGAAAAACCCAGCGACCCAGATACCGATGGAGTTAATAATCGATATTGCCTCGACACTGTAATATTCCACAGTCGGTGGAACGGGACCCGAAATGAAATTTACATACACTAACGGACGCGATGTAAATGAGATGTCTCATCTATTCGAATATCCTTTAAGATACCCGACTCGAGTTTCGGAAGCTTCTTCTTCCATAAGTCTCTCTGAGACGAACGCGCAGCGTCCCGCGGAATGGAATGTTTGTTTCGCCGGTGGGAAATACGATGAGCCTTTGATAATATTATAAACTTGTAAACGATATGTTCCAACTAAATTCTTACCTTTGAGTAGAAGCTGATGGATGTTAAGTGCTGAGTCTCAAGCTTCCTGTAGGGATTGAAAGTCACTGATGCTGCATCACACAAGTAATTTCGTTTGACTTTAATTTGGTGCATAAAATTTGTATTCTTTTATCTTGATTTGCCTGAAAGCTATCTTCGACAATTGGAAAACGTTATATAATTTCTTGGTAATATTTTTTATTATCACGGTAAGGAAGAATCAGTGAAAAAATACACACAGGTTCACGCATACAAAGCCTCTCAAGAGGAAAGACCATGAATCTAAGGCCTTACAATGTGTCCTACAGAAGTTTGGCAGCTACGGTTGTATTCCAGTATCTACTTGCTAGACTCTAACTTTTTAAAGTACAACTATTCAGTAAGAGTTGAAAGAGATGTCCCCAAAGACGTTAAAACCGATATGGAAAGGTTCGTACCCCAAGGACCTAACCTAGACCTAAGCCAAACTTCTAACACACGACCTCGGTGTGTCGTTATTGTGTTCCTATGGCATCCCACGAGTCGAAACTCGTCCAAGTTGTACGTTTGAAGTCGAACGTGTAGCGTACAAGTGTATCGACGAAAAACTTAGATGTTCTCCCAGACTTTTGGGACATCTGACCTTCAGTTGTTCGTATTATGTTCACATTAGCTAGGGAGTTAATATACCCAGTTGGTACAAATTGAGGATTATCCATACCAGCAGGCGCAATTTAGGAGAAGCTCCGTTATGAAATTCGTGAATTGGTAGGTTCCACGAATCGGAAGTCATTAATATTAGTTTCCGCAACTCGAAGAGGATTGCTTGTGCTGGGTCCCGTGAGCGGCACGTCAAGTCAGTTTCCACTGGCAGAGAATTCCTTGTGTTGAACTCCTCGGATCTTGGAGTATTTATATCAAATTCCGCGAATCCCGAATCATCGATGCCTACCTCCGAAAGTTATCCGCGTCGTACGTCTAGGTCCCAGGAAATTTAGGATAGCTGTCGCGGTGGAATCGCCCTTATCCCCGCCCTTAGATTATGCATAGATACTTTATACAGTAACGGCTGATAGTTCGATTTTTAGACGATTTTTGTTCAAATTCTGCCTACCTGACATGAACAAACCAAAAAGATTCTTAATTAAAATGGGTTGAGCTAGAACAGGTGCCAGAATCAATTAAAAATCTTTCTTTTTTAAAAATTGATAGTCAAATTTCAAATTACTTCCATTCTTTTAATTATCAACTTTTTCCTTCGTTCTGGCACCTGCCATAGAAAAATTCATCTTAATTAAGAATCTTCTTGGCTTTTCTATTTCAGGTAGGCAGAACGGTCGAAATCACGGATACCATTCTTTTTATAAGCGATTTTGTAGGAAGCCATGCAATTATGTATAAATATACCCTGAAACGTTAGCTGCAAACAGTCTTACAGTTTCTTTACAAAACAAAGTCCCAAGTGTCATATTGAAAACGGGCATCTACAGTAGATTACCCACTTAAGGGTTAATCCTTTAACGCACAGGCCCTTAAATCGTTATTTCAAAATTATGAGACTGATATATATATTATTAATCTGAAATAGAAAATAGGAATATTAAGCAGACCAGCTTTTTTCTTTTTTTTTTTGTTTTTTAATTTACTTTTGAAGAGGATACATGAATTTCTCAGCTCAAAACGTGGAAATCTACTTCACATCAATGAAACTACGGATCCTTGCTGACAAAAGTTAGATATTAACCGGCGAAAGAACACTTTGAAAACAAGTATTGCACCGTTGCAACACTGGGCGTTAAAGGGTCAAATAATAATCGAGCAATAAGGCCCAATCAAGTTCAATAGCCCACAACAATATCCCGAAGGAAAATAAATTCCACGTTAATCCTCTAATTACAATCTTACATAAACCTAACTCCAACTTCATAATCCATTACAAGAACCAAATTTCACTCGCCATATTGTAGCAGGTGGTGGAACGCGAAATACAACCCTTTAGCCGAAATCCCATTCAACGTATCCTCCTCCCATCTTCGTCTCTCGTTCAGTCCGTGACAGACGTCTGGCTAAATCCAGAAAAATCTCGCGTTCGTACGTATCAATCAACATAACTCATAGAAACACGAGCGCTCGCGCGTGAGGAAAGGAGGGGCGGGGTGGTAGTAACCTCCTTCCGTACCCTTCCCTTTCCGTCCTCTCGGAAGTAATAGATACGAAGTAGCACTAAATCACGCGGGAATGCGGGGCTGGCTCGTATCCCTGGGATTTTCAATTATCATGCACAATGGCTGAAACGCGCGGACCATGCATTCGTGGCTTTGCAGATATGTTTCCACAGCCCGCGCTGCCGACGCCGTCGGCAAGAGATGGAACACACGGCGGAGGCGAGTTTCGCTCGGCGGCTCCTTCCTCTTCGGGGAAAACCGAGTTGGGCGGGTGGGGAGGGAGGGATGGAGGGGGGCGAACCTTAGCCAAGGAGCGAACGTAACCCCGTGGGTCTGCCGCGGCAGATATATAACCGGGAATAAACTAAGGGAAGACACGCATACCGCCTCTTACATCGAGGCGAAAGGGAGACACCGGGAGAGAGAGGCGTGGAGACAGACCGAGGGGTTTATTGAAGCCGGCGTCAATTTTGAATGAAATATTGTTAATTCAAACGCCGTTGAACCGGAAGACCGCGTCCTACGGAAAGGGGCACCGCCGTGGTCGTGCATCTTGGGGACTAAGTGCTCGTTCGGAATAGTTTTGTTTTTTTTCTTTTGTTCTCGTTGATGTGAACTCCTGTTCGAGCAAATTCTACTAGTTGACGGTGTGAGTGAATTTTTAAATTGACTGCGGATTTTTTGCGTTTATCGGAAATGTGAATGTGCAACACGCAATGTAGTGGATATTTCTGGAAGGGTGAGTAGAGATTTTACTTTACTTTGGATCGAATGAAATCTGTAATAAAGGAAACAATCTGTGACGTAATTTCAAGTCGGTAAATTAATCCATAGAAATCTGTATTTACACATAAATTCGCAGTGTGGTGAGAAATAGGCTGAGGTTCTTGTGCATTTAGAGGGTATTCGATCGTCTAATATTCAGTATAGCGAAAGGTTTGGGAAAGTTTATTTAGGTTTTTTTTTTCTTTCGAACTTACTAGAACCCTTAATCGGGGTGTATACGTTTTTCTTTGCGTCCTGTTTTGAGAAATTAATCCATGCATTTCTGTAGGTCCATAAAGATCTACTGTCTAGTAATAATTAACAGATAAAAATGGGATTTTTATAAGAAGTAATAACGATGTTTATTTCAATGTTTCCAGAAATACAATAATTTATTTGTAGTTTCTTATTTGCAAATGGAATGTTATTCTTTGTTTAGTATTTTCAACGATCTGTGTCATGTGAATATCGTCACTACTTTTTATTCATGCTCTTATAAATGGTATGATAAGATAGTGACAGTTTGTTCAACGACCGATATATAATAATTAACAAATGGTTATTAAACTACATTTCTAAATAACAAATAAGTTATCATACTTGACTGTAGGAAAAGATATTAATATTGATACACCTACTGTACCTGGCAAGGATGTACAAAAAAAACTAGCAGGTATATCAATATGAATCTGAATTCGGAATATAGTCCTGACATGAAAATTTGAAAGTGTGATATACAGTCTGGTCGTCGATAATTTTTTCCCTCTCAACTTCGGGGATCGATTATATATTCGGCCAAAACTACGTGCCAGGCAAACAAATTTTTAACAGCACTTTCCTCTCATCCATCCATCCGCCTTGCATTATTTATCACGATCGATATCACGCCACCATCATTTTTCCTTTCTGCTTTGCGCTGAATGCCTTTGGATATGCTTTCGTCAGGGATACAAACCGATAGTCTACTACTTTTTGTCAAACTCGATATTTATCTATAAAGACATCGAAGACCTATACCGCTTCAACAGTGCCGATTATTCTCAAATACTCTTTGTCATTGTTCCTAACACGCAACCTTAAACAAAATGGCCAACATTGCAATTATGCATTACAAAGCATTTAAGAGTACTTTATCAACCCATCAATACCGACCAGTACGAAAATATGTCAGCTTGCAAATAATTTTTCTTCTATGATACCAAGTTTCAATATTTCTCCAACAATCATTTGAAAATCGGTTGAAAAGAAACAAATTCAGAATTAATCAGTTAACTATCTATTTTTGATGTCCCATATTATATTAAACTTATGCTGAGAATTTAATACCTTTTCGAATTCCACAGCGAAATATCGAGTATTCCATTAAAAAATAATCTTAAACTAACCTCGATGCCACGATAAAAAGTCCAGTACGATTAAAGGCAAATAGTTCACTAGGAATTTAAGAAGGGTCAAGATAAGTGACTCGACCAGCACCTCTCTTACCGTCCCGTTTCATAATGCATGACGATCACGAGCTCGCTATTGATCTTGCAGCGCGCCGTCCTGCCAATCCTCGATCGAAATATACGACGGAGGAGTGCCCGGCACCGCGAGATCTCTCGAGAGGATCTGCAGTCCTGCGCAGAGGCTTCCACGGGAACTCATGCAACAAGATACGTAAGTGGATTCTCCAGTTATTAGACGCCGGAATACGGACGTGGTCTACTATACACGGCTTATTACTCTGATACTGTAGTAAGAAGTCCTCGAAATTCCGGCACGATACGCGACTCGCGATACAAACCGCCCCCTGTATCCGCGCTCTACCGACATTACCCGCTGAACTTCCAAAATTCATGTACAGAAATTGATCGTCGAGTTCGTTGGACGTTCTCGAAGAACGTGGATTTTGAAAATATCTACTTGTGTCTCGTTTTGAAGCACCAGTGTCTTGTCTAATTTTGTTAGAGACTCGCGAATCTACAAGGTGTTTCCTAATATCCGAGAAGCATCACAGGGGTGGATTTAAGACACAAAAATAACAAACAAAGTTCGTATAGACATGTGTCCGGTTGGACCTTTAATCCGAGTTATAAACTGTTTTGTGTTGCAACTATGTTTTTCGCGTATAGACACAGCATAGTTGAATATTGGTTCTTGGATCCTGAGGTCAGACTAAATTTTGAATACTATGTATTACTCATATCGTGAATGGAGCAACGAGTATACGGACTATTAATTTACGCCTGTATTGAAGGTACAGGAGTGACTATTTGAAGCATTACCTTTAAAGATAAAGAAACACTTGTTGCAACACAGAACAGACTGTAACACGAAGACCAGGACATGTCAGACAGAGACATATCTGTATGAACCTTTTTTGTTATTTTTGTGTCTTGAGTCCACCTTTGCAATACCTCCCACATTTTAAGAAACAGCCTGTATATAATGGTGGCTTCATCATGACCTATATGTGTAAGACCTGTATATGTAACTATGTCTGTTGGATCAGAAACACGTCGAAGGACACTGACGTGTTCCCTCCCACTGTGCAGCGAAAACTTGCAGTGGTGGGGTAGTTAGTAAGTTCGATATATCTTGTCCACCAAGTATCAGATGTGCTCTTTAGAGTGGAAGTTTCTAGTGGCTCTAGTTTCCACTTTAAAACTCGCAGAAGACATAGCACAAGAAGTCATAGATGGAAGAGATACTCTAGAGAGATATTCTTATGCAAGCTAGGAACGTGTTATTGATCTGACTATTGCATGGTACAATATTCCCCTTCTTATAGTTCCTATTACTCAGGATTAGTTACGTGATTGTAAAGGACGTTGGGAAGAATTCTAGAATATTAGCTCAGTAAGAAATAGATGGCCAATCATCAATCGTATTTGCAGTATTCTAATTGGTTATAGTTTGTATAGAGGAACGTTGTCATTGACTAGATTGAAATACTATTGTAAGTTGTCGTGTGTTAGCAATTTACGCCGTATGATAGGTAATATCTGTATGATAGTAGTCATTGCATTTTAGTATATAAGCAACACATATTGCCTATCATACAGCGCAAATTATTTACACCTGACAAGTTAGAGTAGTGGTCCAACCAAGTCAATGGTCCAACCTAGGCAATGGTCCAGATCCCATATACTGCCTGTTACAATTCGTTTCAATTCCACAAACTCTGATCGTCGTCACCCTAAACAATACGATCCATTTTTACAAGGGTATTACGACCACTCTACATATTCAGACGGTTGTTTCTTTCCCGCCAGCCTAACAGTTCCATTCCTTCACACCTCAATTCTGTCCTCTCTTTCACTCCCTGACCTCCAACCACATAATATAATAAAAACGACGAGACGCTTCCAAACCTCCAAGAAAGCACAATCGGCAGACATAGAACACCTAACCCAAAAACATCACATAACGTCCATAAATTTCATTCACCGTCTTCGACAAACGCCATTAAGCCCATTCACCTAGCTCCGCGGAGTCACATTCGATAAAATGGGACTTCCATTCACAGCCATTTCCCTCGCTTCAGTTCGATCTAATAAAACGTGTTGCACCAAGGAAAAAAAGCGGACGAAGACGGCGGAGTAGGAAAAAGGCCAACTCTTTAAACTAGGAAACGCAGGATTTTATCGTTGGCTAGATGATTGGGGGGCAGATGGACGGGCGTGTAATCAGAAAACAGCTCCACCGGATCCATTGGTCATTTGTGCATCTACTCGAGACAGGGCGCGCACCTTTGCCCAGCGTTTTCATCTCGTTCGAGGCGACTCTGAAAGATGACTGGGCGACGCCATGATGTATCCCAGTTCGCATTTACGACGAGCCATGGTCTCGAATGAGAAGCTATACCAGAAAACGCCATCATCCAGCTGGGTTCGTCGCAGCGTGCGCTCGCGTACTCTAACCCCGAGACCGTTTCCCCGTATTGGTACGCGTGTTTTACAGCTACCGTGGTCCTTTCGACGATGTCGTAAACATTTAATGCCGATCGATTTGTTCATACGTGTAATAATCCCGGGACTGGCGGAAATACCGCGTCGATACCTTGTACGGATTATCCGTCTTTGACGGTTGCTACGTAGATGCACCGCGGAATTTGAATACCCTTCAGCCGGGGCCCGCTTTATTGCGGACTTTTTTCCTTCGACTTTTCCGGCTGGATGCGGCTCGATGCGTCGGTGGGCTGCATATGCCCGGCATTCAATGTCGTTCAGTTTCGTCGAAAGATTGAAAGGATCGTGTATAACGCGTACGAATCGTTTTCACTGGTTTCGGTTGAATGTGATTCGGTGGGATTATTTGTGGAGCTTGAGGATGTACGAAGGAAACTGTTGATCAGAATACATACACTGCCGTTCATAAGTATTATAATATAATCCTGTTCTGGATGAAAAAAATGCGATGCTTCGAATAAATTATATGTTTTAGGCCACTTTTATTATTTATTGGAACATACGCGTTGTACATGCAGGTTTAATATCCTTTTAACAATATTTATTTCAGAGTTTTAATAGTTTCGCAATGCCTTGTAACAATTATTGTATATTCGAGAAGTGTCCTAATATTTATAAGCGTATATGTGGACCCTAGAGCCAGAGGGTATTAAAAGGAGAACAAATCGAAGGTGCAAAAACCTTGCAACTTGCACCGTCTGGTATGAATTCAACGAAAAACAATTGGTACCATCGAACTATTGACATGGACTTAAGACAAGTCTCGATATATAGAAATGTCGAACATTGCATTAAATCCCCTATATGACGGACTTTAAACTGTTTGGCTCGGAACAAGATATGGACTTATTATCATTGTGAGACTATTATATCAAAAACTAAACGACTTAAGAACGAAATAATTTGACCATCGAAGAGACTGGAAAATTTGATACGGGAAATATGTAAGATATCATTTTTTTTTTACACCTAAAATACTATGCATGCAACTGCCTTCGAATAGAATATTCTTTGTCCAGGAGTTTCCATCGTATATTCTCAAATTTCGCAGATAATTGCATCAATCGATTTATATGAATCACCTTTCTGTGTTTCACGCGCTTCTATTCAGAATTAATTACTTTTTCGCGACAGAGGTAAATGCCAAAAAGAAATTTGAAGTGTAAAACACTTTCCGCCTTGAAAAGCGCATTAATATTACATGAGGCACTTCTCTGAACTCACAAACAAAGATGACACGAATAATATACCGATCTAATGTTACTTTCATGAATTGTCTAAGTTTCGAAAACATTAGATTGCATAGACAATGTCTCTTCTTCCGCAGTTTAAACTCTATATACCTACAGTAAAATACCTATATATATAATCTATATACCTACAAAATTATCCAAGAACAATCCTTGTAACTATAAAGCAAAGAGAATGCGCCAAAGAGAATAATAGGAAACAATCATAGAACGTAAAATGCTACTGTAAACTTCCGAATCCAACAGACCTTGTAAATACACAGCATACATTTTCAAACAGTTAAACTATTTTTACAAAATAGTCTGTTCTGAGGTGATGTTCTAAATATAAAAGTTACTTTAGAAGAACTATTAGAAGTGCTACATACAAACATTACTTTAGAAGAACTATTAGAAATTTTTTATATTTTTTTATTATTTCAGAAGAACTATTGGAAGTTCTGAATACTAAATTCTACATACAAAATGTTTCATTTCTCTAACCTAAGCAATAAAATGCTACTGAACCCCTAGAATAAAATTCTTAGTAAAACACTTTCCGCCTTGAAAAGCGCATTAATATTACATGAGCCACTTCTCTGAACTCACAAACAAAGAAATATATGTAAATATATCAAAATACGTGTCTTTGAATATGAGCTTGGACAGGAAAAAATCGATAAAATTAAAGGATGAATGATAGTGTCCGTTTGTAAAATACACATTTGATCTGCTCAAGATAAAGTCTCGAAGCACGATACTAAAATGAAATTACTATTTCACGTATTAAAAAGTGACGCTCGAAAGGAGGTTGCCCGAAAGAGCGCCTCGACGGACCGAAGGACCGTACGATTTTAATCAGATAAATGTCGAAGTGGGATCCGCAAAGAATCACGCCGGCCAGAATGGAAGTATCTCCGTCTGAAAAACGTGACAGGAAACCAACCACGGAGGAAGACTTTTCCCCGCACATATTGATCAGCGTCGGGGGCCGCGATCTGAATGGGTTACATTCCAAATCCTTTCAACCGCGATCGATATTCGCCCCGCTATCCGGAGAATCGTTCACCCGGGGACGGAACATTCGCTGGGGATACGAACGAAGGATCTAATTGTAAGATACGAAGTAGCTCGATGAATAATAGGAATTCCACCGTGAACGCGATTAATACTGTCTGCCCTCGGAAATTGAAACGTAACGTATGGTTCACGTGATTTTTATATGATATTTTAAACATTCTTGTTCCGGTGAAATAATATAAATGGAATGTGGACCATATTTCACAAGTAAATCGTGGTGATTACAACTTTACAAGACCTAATAAAAACGTAAAACGATGTGTCAACGTAACTTTCACGTAAAACGAAATTTAGCGTCCAGAATAAATGCACAGCTCAAAGGAATTAAAGGTACGTGTATTGCAGCCACTGTATTTGTCAAATACCTCGTAACAGTACTAGAATTTTTTTTCATGGA